TGGGCGGGGTTGGGGCACGGATCTTTCCCGGCCGGGGCTGATGGCTGCCGTGGTGCGCGGGGTCCCCAGCTGGGACTGTGGGCTGCTGACAGCTTGGTTCCCCCTCCCTTGGCTGGGCTGGGCTGATGGAAGCCACCATGGTCGAGACCAGGTTCCCATCCCCAAGGCCAGCTCTTACCCCACGACTACCAGGTTCCGAGACAGGCCCTGACCCGTTACCTCCCAATGAAGACAGGCAAAATCCCCGCTCCAGAGGGGTCGCACTGTACCCCAGTTCTAGTCTCACAAGTTTCAGCTCTTCATATCCAGCCCTTCCTGTCTCCCCCCCCAGCTCCTGCCAGTGGCCCTGAGAGTCCCCCACAGACGCACGCGGACTGCCTCGGCGCCTGTCTCTGGGGAGCCTGACCTGGGGCACACCTGTTCCATGCATTTCTGCCAGCCCCCGTCTCCTCAGGGAAGGACCACGACCAGCTGAGCTGTCATAAGGTCACGGTGCATGTCTGCTTAGACAGGCACAGAGAGACACTGCGGGACTTCCCGACAGCCCGGTATGTTCCCGTGACAGTGTCTGTCCCTGTGTCCAAGCAGACAGTAATGATGACTGCTACTTTTTTTTCTTCTTCTTTTTTTTTTTTTGGAGAGGTTTTCGCTATAGGGCGCGCGCGCTCGCCAGACAGACAGAGAGAGACAGAGAGACAGAAAGCGAGAAATCAGCCCCCAGGGGTGATGGCCACGCCTCAATCCTTTCTCCTCTGTTCTCCTCTCGGGATCTTGGGCACGCACGCACGCGCGCCTGGTGTGTGTTTAAGCCACTGGGTCCAGGACTCGAATCGCAGTCGACTACGTGGGAGTCCAGCGACATAGCCATTACACCAACAGCTGGTTCCGATGATTGCTACTTTAACCATGGGAAGCTGCACTTTCCAGACAGAAATAACCAGACGACAAATGATAGACGGTCATTGCCACGGCCTCAGCCTGCCTGCTAAACACCCGTGCTCATCACAGACTCCGAAATGTCCCGGCCGGTTCGGGTCCCTCAGAGCGCAGACCTGGCTCTCCGTGTAAACGTACTCACCCGTCCTTGTTGCTGCTGTTGTTCACATTGAACAGGGCAACGGCGCCGGGCAGGCCCTGCCTCCTGGGGGCGCAAACACACGGGGAAGCAACAGCCCATGGTGAGCAAACGGCCTTTTCCAATCATTTTTAAACATTGTGCTTTCCTTTTCTCTGTGTCTCTCTCCAGCAAGCACACACTTTCTAGCAAAATTAAAACAAAGTAAAACCAAAACCTTGTCAGCCTCTACTCAGTACTTAAGATTGCCTAGACAATTTTTTAAAGAATTACTTATTTTATTTGTTATTATTATTTCCAATTTGAACAGAGAGAGAGAAGAGGGAAAGTAAGAAAGCAAGCCACCAGGTCCAGGACTCAAACCGCAGTCGGTCCCGTGGGAGCCCAGCACCTTAACCATTGTGCCACCTGCTGGACCCTTGCCTAGACGATTTTTTGACAATAAGGAGCTTCTGTGAAGCAGGAATTGCCGAACACCTGTGCCTATTGGTCAATATTTACACCAAGAATTAGCATCCTTCCTGGCTGTAAGTGAACCATCTCGAATGCCATCCCAAAAGGAGACCCAAGAATGTTGGGGAAGACAGGAGGAGAAGAGATAAATAAAAACCGGAGGTATCCCGTGGGAAGGAAGGAAGGAGGGGGGAGAAGCAAAGAAAAAGGAAATAGGCAGGTCTTCAAAAAGCTCATGGAAAATGCATGATATGACAAAGTATGCAGAGATTTATAAAAAAATTGCTTGCACCAAAATAAACTCATACTTTCTTTCAATTGTTCACAAAAGGAAAATCCTCCCACAGATCTGGAGGGTGGGAGGTGACCCACACCAGGGCCACCCCACCCCTGCCGCCATGCCCGATGGCCCCGCTGTCTCACGTCCTACCACGGACTCCAGCTGTCCGAGGTACGCCCTGGTGCTGTTCCTGGAAGCAGGTCTAGCGGGACAGAGCATGCTAGGAATGGCACTGGCCCTGTCACACGCCATTGCTCGGGGACCCTGAAAGAAAGACTGGGGGGAAGCAGGAGCTCAGAGTACACGGGGACATGACATTTCTTTAGGGACAGACATGGGTCCCTGGGAAATAGCAGAGTGTGTCACCATCGGACAGTGGCCGTCCTTGGAGAGGGCAGGAGTGGGGGCCGACACCAGTAACTGCCCAGACCCGGGGTGGACAGCGGGAGCATGCACTGTGCCCACTCTGAAAGGACCAGAAGACTTTTCATCCACACAGGGTCTAAACACAGATTCCGAAGGCCATCACCCGCTCACCTCCACGATGGCTCTCGCCTCCAGTGACAGGTGCCCCTCGCCTGTGGGTTTCCGTCGTCTGATTCTTCAGATGCAGAGATGCTGTCATCCCAGTCATCAGAAGAGGAGCTGCGGCCCCGGGGGCAGAAGCGAATTAGTGGAGTGTTGCGACCATCGCAGGAGAGCAATCTTCCTCGTCAGAGGCCGGCGCCTGGTTCCCCCTTTCTTCCCTCTCATGTTAATGCACATGACAATTTCTAATTCGTGTGAAGTGAGGCGTGTACAGAACACACGTGCAGAATTGCGCAGCGTGCGTGCACAACTCCGTGAGGTGCATTTAAGTGAGATACTATTTCCTAGGTCTCCACATTCCTATTGTTCGATGCATCCATGGACCTTCATCGTCAGCAAACGTTATTTATTTTTTCTTGTTTTTGGAGAGGTTTTTGCTATAGGGCGCGTGCACTCGCCAGAAAGACAGAGAGAGACAGAGAGACAGAAAGCGAGAAATCACCCCCAGGGGGGATGGCCACACCGCAATCCCTTCTCCTCCATTCTCCTCTCGGGATCTTGGGCATGCACGCACACGCGCCCAGCGTGAGTTTAAGCCACTGGATCCAGGACTCGAACCACAGTCGACTACATGGGAGTCCAGCGACATAGCCATTATGCTAACTGCTGGTCCTGTCAGCAAACGTTATTGAGCATACTATTGTGGGCCAGCAGGTGGTGTGTAGGTTATTGTGCTGGAACCCACAGAGCCAACTCCAGGGTGCAAGTCCTGGACCTGGTGGCTTGAAAATCACATTTGGTGCATGTGCAGGCACAGAAGGAGAAGGGAGAAGGGATTGCAGTGTGGCCATTCCCGGGGGTGGGGTGGGTGGGTGGGTTATTTCTCACTTTCCCTCTCTCCATGTTTCTCTGTCTCTCTCCAGGGAGCACACATACCCTATGGCAAAAACCTCATTTAAAAACTGCATGGGGAAACGCATGGCTTACCTGCACGCTCCACTTTCCATCCTTCTTATTTCCTCTTCCATGGCTGGCACAATCACGCGAGGAATGTTTGTAAAAGAGCGCTTCGTATTGATAATACTTCTCTTCATGCTCGGCTTAATCTCTGAGGAGCAAGAGGTCTTATTAATGGGAAGACTATTTTTTATAGATTTGCACATGTAATCAAAAGTTTCACTCTACCTTCCTTCTAAGTCAGTAAAAACATTCATTTCAGTTATCCACAGGAATTATCCTTCAATAGAGAACAGACAGGGTCGCTTTCACTGCCACATACATACACATACATATGTATGTATATATATATATATATTTTTTTTTTTTTTAATTCAAAAATGTACAAGAATACATGACTTTTTAAAATTTTTGGTTTGGGGGCCAGCAGGCGGCATGGTGGTTAAGGTCCTGACTCCTACATGATGGAGACATGAAAGTGAGAATTCACCCCCCAGGGAAGATGGCCACACCTCAATCCCTTCTCCTCCATTCTCCTCTCGGGATCTTGGGCATGGACACACATGCACCCGGTGTGAGTTTAAGCCACTGGGTCTGGGGCTCAAATCATGGTTGACTACATGGGAGTCTAGCGACATAGCCATTACACCAACAGCTGGTCCATAGTACATTAATTTGACAAGACTTATACACAGAATATATACAAAATTTGTACAACTTGACAATTAAAAAATAGCCAATAAAAATATAGGCAAAAGAGTTGAAAATCAGCCAATAAGCACATGAAAATGTGCTTAACAACATTTGCCATGATATAAATAAAAATGAAAACCACAATGAAATACCATTTCTACCCAGTGCACTGAAATGTAAAAAATTGGCAACACAAATGTCACTTAATCAGCATCAGGAGGGACGGCGGTACAACCTCTTTAGCAAATCACGGGACAATTTGTTACAAAGATAAATATACACCTAGTTGACTATTCAGCAATTCCACTGCAGGCTTTTACTGAAAAAAAAAAAAAAATCCCTTTTTCTTTTTTTAAGGTTTTGCCATAAGGCAGGTATGCTCAACAGAGAGACAGAAAGAGGGAAAGTGAGAAATCACTCTTCCTCCCAGGGGTGATAGCTACACCACAGTCCCTTCACCTCCATTCTCCTCTCACGATTCGGGGCATATATACATGTGGGCCTGGCATGATTTTGAAGCCACCAGGTCTGGGGCTCAAACTGCGGTCAACCATGTGGAAATCCAGCCACTTTAACACCCTCTGCTGACCCCTAAAATTAAATCGTACATATGCAAATTCCTTATACAAGAACATTTACAGCAGCTATGTTCATAGACTCCCCAAACTGGAAACTTCTGTTTTCATAAGTAGGAGGATAGATTAAAAATTGATTCAAGCAAACAATGAAGTATTTCTCAGCAGCAAAATGGAGTGAACTACTGGTACTTGCAACAATTTTGATGAATTTCAAAAACATTCTTGGAGGAAACTAAACCATATTAGATATCCCATTTAAATTAAATTCAAGAACAGATGAAAGTAGTTCAAGATAATCGAAAAATCAGACCAGTAATCATTTAAGGGGAGGAAAGGTGTGAGAATTTACTGGATATGGACATGAGAGAACTTTCTGGAATGGAAGTTTAGGGGAGTTCATTACATAAATGCGTACATGGATCATGAGTCATCAGATTTACTCTAAGTAATGTGTGCATTTCACTGTACTTAAGATTTACCATAATTAACAATTTGTTTTTCTTTTCTTTTTTCTTTTTCTTTTTTTTTTTTTTTTTGCAAGAGGGCACACGGGCTTGCCAGAGAGACAAAGAAAGAAAGGGAGAAGGGGAAGCATCCCGTCCCTGGAGAATGGTAGTCCTCAGTCCTCTTTCCATTTCTCCCCTTTGGGGGTCTCAGGCTCCCTGCGCCCGTGTGCCTGGAGTGTTCACAAGTCACCAGATCTAGGACTTGAACAACCTGGTTGGCCGCGTGACATCCAGCTCCCATACCCATTCCATAGTCGGGCAGTTTTGCTCCTTAAGAATTTTATTTTTTTCTGTACATCTTGTTATTCTGCTATTTGTGTGAAGTTTTACCTGCCTCAAAATGTCTGACCACCACCGAGTCCACTACCAAAACCTGAGACACTGACGTGTGTGATAAAGTACAATGTGTATCCACACATTTAAATATGTACGCATATTCTTTTTTTTTTTTTAAGAGGTTTTCACTATAGGGTGCGTGTGCTCGCCAGACAGACAGAGAGAGACATAGAGACAGAAAGCGAGAAATCACCCCCCGGGGGATGGAACCGCTGCAATCCCTTCTCCTCCATTCTCCTCTCGGGATCTTGGGCACGCACACACACGCGCCCGGTGTGAGTTCTAAGCCACCGGGTCCGGGATGCGAACCGCGGTCAACTCCGTGGGAGTCCAGCGACATAGCCATTACGCTAACTGCTGGTTCCCCCCCCCAAAAAAATTATACACATATTCTTTAGCGTACAACAAAGTTTTAGTTGTGAAGTGAGAGGATGGGCGCAGGATTATAGATTTTGCAGTGTTTGTGCCATCACTAGACAGAAATTGAAATCAGACATACAGGTGTGACACAACCGTTAACTTTTCTCGTACATGAACATGACAACAAATACTCTAAATGATAATATAGAAACTTAAAAGATTACTTAACTGCTTTTAATAGCACGGCATAAAGCTCCTAGAGTTGATATAATCATTATGCAAAATACAGAGATGAATACCATCTTTGTTTAAAAATATAAAATCTATAAGCAAGACATGTGAAAATAGGCAAGTTTCCATTAAATAAATGAAAAATTTTTTAAAAAGGAAGTTTTCCTTTCCATGTCATTTAAAGAACAGAAATTATCATTTTAAACAATATTCAAGTTTATTAAATAAGTCTTAAAAAGTCTTATAAAATGTTTAACTTTCATCAGCTTCAAGGCTTATGTTGCTTCCAAATTTTGCATACACCTGAACTTTCAAATCTGCTAGCACCGCTGAGCCGAGTCCACTCTGGATTCTAAGGTGTCAATTTCTCCTTGCAAATTTTCTTTGCTTCTTCTAGCACTTGTGTTTTTTCCTGAGAATGGCTGATGAAAACGTCACTGATTTGGTAAGGTGTCATTACGCAGTCGTCATCTACAAGCATGATACCATCACAAGCATCTTCTAAATTTTGGAGTTCTTTTTTACTTCTATGTCTTCTTTTAGCTCTGTGATTCTACTCGTATTCTGTGCAAATTTGTTTATCTTTTGTTGATCTTTGAAAGTGACATTGACATCTATAGCCACCTTCTTCATGGTGGCCTCCATCTTGGGACTCAAGAGTTTTTTTTTTTTTTTTGAGAACTTTTTGGGGTGCATGCACTCACCAGAGAGAGGGAGAGACAGAGAGACAGGAAGCAAGAAATCACCCCCAGGGGGATGGCCACACTGCAGAACCTTCTCCTCCATTCTCCTCTCAGGATATTGGGCATGCACGCACATGTGCCCGGCGTGAGTTTAAGCTACTGGGTCTGGAGCTTGAACCGAAGTCGACTACATGGGAGTCCAGCGACATAGCCATTACTGCTGATCCCAATTCTTTCTTGATTTCCTGAGTTGCATTTGCTTTGTAGACTGACAAAGATGACGCTTGTAAAATGCTCACCATTGTCTGGCACACAGAAAGACCCCCAGTAAATGGTCGCTTCCACCACCAGTTTAGCGAATATAATCCTAGAGCCAGGAGGGGGTGTAGCAGTAACACCACTGGCTCTACCTGGGACAGGTCCAGGGTTCACATCCCGGGATGTCCCTGAGTTGGACGTGGTACACGTGCCAGTGAGGGGCCAGCTGAGGCTGGGATGGACTGCAGCATGAAGACTGCGGGGCTGCCTGTGTTTCCTTCTCTCTCCAGGAAACGAATGAGCAAACTTAAAACAATGAACACAATCTTCACGTAGCACATTCCTCTGAGTTACCGCGCCCTGTCAGTCATCTGCGCCCGGTTCTGCTCTGCCCTGAGAGGTTCCACGGCAGGACTGTTCTCACCAATCCTCAGCATTTTCCTGTCCTTTCACACAGTTCTTAACTAAATCAGAATGCAAGAGACGACATTGGATGTAGAAAAATATATGAAAGCATGTCATTCGTCAAAGCAAACTAGAGAATGACTTACATTTTATAAAATGTCCTATCTCCAAGTAAGTTTAACAATACACAATACTCCTTCTCTCCCTCCAGTATTCAACAGCGGATGAAAATAACTAGCAGGCAGTAGTCAATAGGGGTAAATGGAGTACTTTGCGTATGTGTGTTAACAAAGGACACATATATTTTTAAAAGTAATTAATATGGAGCCAGCAGGTGGCATAGTGGTTAAAGCACTGGACTCCCACATGGGCGACTGTGGTTCAAGTCCTGGACCCAGCAGCTTGAAAATCACACCTGGCACATGTGCAGGCATGCCCAGGATCCCTAGAAGGGAGCAGAAGAGAAGGGATTGTGGCATGATCGTTCCCCAAAAAAGTGATTTCTCGCCATCCCCCTTTCTGTCAAAAATCTAAAAAAAAGTAATTTACCAGGAAACAAACACTTTTTTTAAAGTTTATTTTTTTAATCCAAATTTATTTTGGTGTAAAGTATGAGGTAGGGGTTTAAATTGATATTTTAAAAATGGCTAGCTAATATTCTAAACAGCATTTAGTCAATGGTCAGTAGTCCATCTTTTTCCTACTGATCTGAAATGTCATCCTTCTAAAACTGCTTTGCCAACCATAGAGGTTTTCATGGATTTGCATTAAAATCATAGGCAAAATTTGGAAATCATTTTCCTTTACATTATTCAAAAAAGTTTGAACAGGGCCAGCCAGTGGTACGGTGGTTAAGATGACTGGCTCCCACGTGGTGAGTACATGTTTCAAATAGGACCCAACACTTGAAAAACACACTGGGCATGTGCACGTGTGCTCAGGATCCTGAGAGGAGGAGGGAGGGTGGAGATGCCATTCCCCCTGTGGGGTGCTTTCTCACTCCACTCCCCTCCCCTGTCTCTCTCTGGTGAGCACACATGCCCTATAGCAAATGAAATAATAATAAGTTAAATTAAATAAATTATTCTTTTAAAGAAGA